CCATGCACCGCTACAGACTAGGGACCGAATGGCTTGGCAGCAGTTCTGCAAAAAAGGACTTAGGGTTTACAGTGGATGAGAAGCTGGATATGAGTCAACAGTGTGCCCTTGTTGCCAAGAAGGCCAATGGCATTTTGGGATGTATAAGTAGGGGCATTGCCAGCAGATCGAGGGACGTGATCGTTCTCCTCTCTTCGACGTTGGTGAGGCCTCATCTGGAGTACTGTGTCCAGTTTTGGGCCCCACACTACAAGAAGGATGTGGAAAAATTGGAAAGAGTCCAGTGGAAGGCAACAAAAATGATTAGGGGACTGGATCATATGATTTATGAGGAGAGGCTGAGGGAACTGGGATTATTTAATCTGCAGAAGAGAAGAATGAGGAGGAATTTGATAGCTGTATTCAACTACCTGAAAGGGGGTTCCAAAGAGGATGATCGAGACTGTTCTCAGTGGCAGCAGATGACAGGACAAGGAGTAATGGTTTCAAGTTGCAGTGGGGGAGGTTTAGGTTGGATATTAGGAAAAACTTTTTCACTAGAAGGGTGGTGAAGCACTAGAATGCGTTACCTAGGGAGGTGGTGGAATCTCCTTCCTTTGAAGTTTTTAAGGTCAGGCTTGACAAAGCCCTGGCTGGGATGATTTAGTTGGGGATTGGTCCTGCTTTGAGTAGGGGGTTGGACTAGGTGACCTCCTGAGGTCCCTTCCAACCCAGATAGTTTATGATTCTGTGATTCATAAAAGGGTTTTTTCCAGGCACTGAAAGAAAATAATAGAGACGTTTCATAAGATTGACTGGGCTGGGGCTCTGAGATGCTCTAAAATATTAGACAAGAGAGGAAGAAAAAATCTTGAGGTAAAAGCACAGGACCGAAATCTAGGATCCTGAGATTTATCTCTGGCATATCAAAGTCCCAGTATGAGTTTGGGCAAGTCACTACCTCTTTCTGCCTCAACTTCCTCACACAAAACAGTGATAGTGGGCCAAATCAATCTCTGGTGCAACACTATGGAACTAACTGAAGATAAATCAGGGATATTTGCCGGGATGGGCAGGGATGGATATATCTGACCCAGTTATATTTACTATCTTTAGAGGGAAGGTGGGAGACTTAATGCCTTGGTCTTTGCTCCCTTGTTCAGTGCACAGCCAGGTGTGCAAGACGGTGCACTCCAGCACAGTGCAAGTGAGAGTTATGCAAGGATATAAGGTTAAGCGCAAGGTGTAGCCCTCCATCCTGAGCAGCAGTAAGGCTGGAGTTTCCTGTGCACTTACTCCATTACTTGCAAGTGTGCATTATTCAAAATGGGGTGTGAGTGGGGAATGTGTAAATCCGAGATTATAGAGATTAAACACTGTCCACATCATGCTAATAAAGCACTTAGCTATGCATTCCCTTCTGAAGTCCTGCTTTTTTTTTTTACTATGTAGAAGGGACTTACGGCTAGATTCACATAGGGATTTAGGAAGTTTGTCACTGAGCAATGTAGCACTTAACTTTTAGGCACCTAAAAAATCACAGGAACACCACTGCTTCGCAAAGCCTGAGTAAGGTGCCTAGGCGCCTTATACAACGAATGGGGAGAGAGGCACTTTAGAATGCAATCCACAAAAGCCAGCACCTGGTTAGGGAGCCACTTAAGCTAGTCAATGGGAGATGCTGACCATCGGGTTCTGTGGTAAGCCCCGCCCTTTTTGCTGAGATAGGTGCCTAGCTCTGCTTGGGATTCTCAGCTGTGAACCCTCGCCTGGAGTTAGGCACCTAAGGTGTTTCTTGCAAGAGGGGGGGAGCTCCTTCATAACTTTTAGCGCAGTGGTTAGGGTACTCATGTGGGATGTGGGAGACCCCCCAGCTCAAGTCCCCCCTCTGCCTGATGAGGCAAAGGGATTTGAACAGGGATCTGCCACATCTCAGGCAAGCACCCTAACAACCACTGAACTATGGGATATTCTGATATGGGGCTCCCTCAATCTCTCTTGCTAAAGCTGTATCAGTGTGTATCAAGTCACTGCAGTAGGGGGACTGAATCCAGGGTCTCCCAGCTGAGTGCCTTACCCACAGGCTATAGAGTAATTCTCAGTTTTGCTCTTCCCACTGTTCTATTTCTGGAGTTAGGCAGCCTCCGAGCATGCCTACCAGATCAAGCCCTACCTGTGATTTCAGCAGCCAAGCACCTATCTTCCCTGGTTTATGAACCACACTGGGGCTTAGGTGGGAGATAGGTGCCTGGTTGCTTAGAGTGAGGCAGCCATGCGCATGCTCAGAGGCAGAAATGTAAGTGCCTAGGGAACTTTTACTACTACCAAGTGAGTTTAGGTGCCTATAGGGTGAGGCGGTAGCCGAGTGGGGATTTTGTGAACACCAGTAGCACCTAAATGTGGGTCTTAGGCACCTAATGTAACAGGCACCTAAGTCCCTTTGTGAATCTAGCCCTCAGTGGCCAAGTAACAGTGCTCTCATTAATGCAAGATTAGACTCCCTTGCATTGCATCGTTTTTATCTTGATTCGTCCCAGCTCCAACGCCTGCCTCTCCTTAGCCCCCTGGTATAGTGGTTATTCTGGGGATGGGGAGGGCTGTGACTGACTCACACTGCACTCCAGCTATCCTCAACTGGCATACACTCCCTTGGGGACTATAGTTAGCTGCCTTAGGTTCAGACAGCTTCTTGGCTGTCCTAACCTTTGCCCAGGCCAGCACAGATCTACCTAAGAATCAAGGAGTCATAACTGATTTCCTGATGCCCCTTCTCACTCCTGCACCAAGATGATCTCTTGGCAGGAGAGAAGCTGAGGCTGTGTCTACAGTGGGCTGCAACGTGGACAACAGGGGTGTGAACTGCAAAGGGCACCCAAGTGTTGCACTGTAACTGCCTTGTTTGGACGCTGCTGGCGCAAACTAAAAGGAACTTAGTGGCATGTTAACATAGTCCTTATTTAAACAGGACTACATTAACGCAAACTAGATACTGCTATTCACATGCCCGTAGCGAGCACTGCGGTGCAGTGTAGACAGACCAAGCCATTTTGGTTTTTAAAATGTTCTGAAAGAGACAGCTGCAAAGTGCTTTTGGTTACAATGAAATCTTAGAACCTGTTGGACTAGATAGGACAATACAAAATACTCTATGGCCTGTGGACCAGGTGCCAGTTCATGCCAGAGCCCCAGGCCAATTCACTTGCATATTAGTATAGATCAAAGTGATTGTTAAATGTGTAACTGTATTTGGTGTTTAAACTTCATGAAAACTAGTGGGAGGTTACTTGCATTGTTCTCACTTATCTGTATCCTGTTATAATGTAGTAGCAAACATTTATATTGTGTATACCCCTGTAACTAAATAACCCATGAAATGAGAAAGAAGCCTTATGGAATGCAAATGAAGAACTTTACGAGAAAAGTGCTAATTTCAAAGCAAGTGGTCATTGTGTGTGATGATCGGAGGTCAAAGATTCAAAATGCATTCCTCAGTCTCTGTCATCAAAGGAAAAGCCCACCTGGGTAGTGACACTGTCAGCTTGTTTTCTGTGAGAAAAAGCTATAAGTATGGATTCAAGGAAAGATCCTCATCTCTGGACTGTTTGGACTCTTACAGGGAAGTGTACCAGATGTAAAGCAGAGATCCCCAGAGACAATCTGGGTACCCTGAAAAGATTTTTGGGAAACTGGCAGTTTGTTACATCACTGCCACCATTTGGAATTACAAACTGTGACTCACCTGTGCATATATTGTATCTGTTTTAACCTCTCAATAACTCTCATTTCCTTTTCTTAGCTAATAAACTTTTAGTTAGTTTACTATAGAATTGGCTAGCAGTGGCAAGTTTGGTGTAAGTGACTGGTATCTTGGGACTGGAACCAACCTAAATGTGATGTGATTTTTGGTGAAAGTGACCATTTTATCACAAAGTCCAGTTTGTCTGGGTGGCAAGATAAACTGGAGAGGCTAAGGGGACTGTCTGTGACTCCAAAGTAAGACTGATATAGTGATCCAGGAGTTCACATTCGTCACTGGCTTGGTGAAATCTAATTGTGGAACACACCACCAGTTTGGGGTATCTGCCTGTTTTCTGACAATCTGCCCTGAGGTAGGCACTCAGGGTCATGAGCCACTCCAGACACGCTGACATGCTGCATTCCTCCTCTAGCAGAGGGGATGGACTATGCAATCTGGTGGGTCTTTTACATTTCTAATTTCTAGGGGTGTATTCTGAGTCTTCAGGCAAAGCCTGAGTAAAAAGGGCTTTGTGCAGAGGAATTATGTGGGTCATGCTGAGGACAAAATCCTGCTGTCCTCCAACCTGTAATTATGGCCTGGTGCTCTCCTGCTGCTGGGTAACATTAGTGATAAAAACCTCTGAAATAAAGTTCTCTGTCGCGAACAAACATACATTTGAGAGCACAAACCATTACAATTCCTGCTTTGATTAGACAGCTGCAGAGCATTATTCTACTTCCTTTGGAGTCCTGGACATGGAATATCTGTTATGATCATGTAGGCATAGCCTACATAATCAAATTCCTTCAAACAGGAGAGTGATAGGGTAAGGCACAGGCACTGCCAGAATTGGGCTCCCCTAAATTTTATATCTTTATGTCCAAGATGGTTTTATTAGGCTCTGCCCTCAGAGGCTGGAAAACCCTGTTATCAGAATGAAGAAAAATAAAGAAGGCCAAATCAATCCTTAGTTGGTGTAAACTGGTAGAGCTCTGAATTCAGTACATCTAGGTCAATTCACACCAGCAAGGATCTGGCCCAGAATACCCACATAAAGCTAATCAACAGGATCACAACGATGGACTAAACTGTGGCAGTGAAACTGAGAATTTCTTTAACACAGATTTTTACTCCTACTGGACTATAGTTGCCAGAGAAACTGAGCTGACCTATCAACAGAGCTGGGCATAGGGGCAGCTTTACTACAATGAATCAGTTTATATTTCATTTCAAGCCCTCACAAAGGCAATGCATCCCCTTCTCTTGAGCTCTGGAGAAATACCTTCAGTGAAGCCCTGGAGCTTTCAGGAACCCCATTTCCATATTTCCCGGAGATGATCCCGCAGGCAAGTGGAGACCATGTCATTGCTCCAACTCCTACCAAGCAATCGGATAAGGAAATTACAGTGAATTGGTGACATATTGGTACATCATAAATGTGACTGACTGCAAACCGAAAGACCAAGTGTACCGCTTATTCCTATGACAGTTGTTAGTGATGTTCAGGCAGTGTAATGGTAACAACAGTCTCTTCCTTAAAAGGACCTGGACAAGGTTATTTCACAGTTTTAAAAAAGGCTCTGTGATCCCTCTTAGAGCAACTGGCACAGTCCTATTTGTGGCAGCTGCTTGCCTCATGCTGGCTCCTCTTCTTCCCAGTTTATCGAGGTATCCCAATCCTGCCCCTTGTCTTGGCTCCTGTGTCTCACTGATGGGTGGCAATGCCCCCTACTTCTCTTTGTTATGCTGTCTCACCCCTTTTTCTGCACTGCATCTGGCATCCAGGGAGTGGATCTGGAGAAAAGATAGTCCTGCTGGTGCATTCTCCACAGGAGCAGAGGGGAGGATAAAGTGCACCCTGGCCAATCTGCTCCTCTTCCAGCCCACTTTGTCTCCACCCCACCCCTGACCACAGACTCCATGGAGTGGCCTGGAGCCACTGAAGGGGCAGATTGTGCTATGGAGGCAGACGCATCCCCTTCAGCACAGGAGAGATGAGAGGAGTGCAGGGTGGCCCCCCTTTCTGCACAGATGTGGGGTACCATTTGGGCTTTAGAAATTAGCATCTCAAAGTAACAGATATCTACTTTTAGAGCTATACCAAGCCAGTCTCTCTCTTTGGATTGCTAGGCAGATGTTTGTCTTCTGCCACACTTCTATTTAACAGGGACACACAGGAAAGGATTCTGTACCCTTGCCATTAGCATATCATTTCCTCAAGAGTAAGAAATGAGAGAACAGAGCAAATCTCAAAACTTTACCTATTTTGTGGTATAATTCTGGCAGTTGAACCTCCACTTTCTCTCTCTGGAAAAGATGATATTCAGCCTGTTCACATACTGGTGGAATCATATTAAACTGTCTTGCTACAGAATAGGCTTCCTGTACAAAATCAGTAAAATAAAATGAAGTATTAACAGAGACTATCCTTGTGGAATATAACATATCAATCAACTATGCATCCACAAAATCAGTGCATGTCCCAGACCTTTTTAGGTATAAAGAATCTGCTGCAAAGTAGATTCCCACATTCTCGTCAGATGCAATATCGATATTCACGTTTCCCAAGTTTCTTTTCAAATAGCTTTTTGATGTTTTGTTTTCTGTGTATTCAAACAAATACAACAAATTCTCAGGGCATTTTGGACCTGATCCAACTCCCATTATAGTCAATGGAAAGACTCACTAACTTCAGAGGTTCTTGGATCAGACCCTTACTGGTTAATAGTAACCCTAAGAATCAATTATTAAAAATACCCAGCAATTGTAGATTCTGCTCACGTCACACCTGAACTAACCTGTAGGCGTGTATAAGATCTAATGTCACTGCAGTGAAATATAGGTTGCATGCTGACCATACATGCTCACATTGCTTTCATGGTACTTAGCTCTGAAAACACAACACACAGTTGTTCCTTTTTCTCTACAAGGTGAAATCAAAATTCCTCAAACTGATGGATCTCCATCCCAGAAGTCCATTACATTTTCCATTGCTGCAATACTCAGCAGCCTTGGGTTGACTACAACCAACCAACATGTTGATAAAGGTGTTACAACTTGTCTGCATTAGGAGCTAACAAGTTTTTAAACAGCAGTTAATCAACATGGGTTATCCAATGTGACCCTCTGAGTGCCCACTGGCAACGGGTTCTCTGTCTGACTACAACTGTTACCATGCCTGACAAACTCATTATGCATAACACACTGTTGTCATCGTATTTATCCAAAGAGTATTTCATACGGTATCGTATGAAAACTGGTGACTTTCTGGTGATTAATATTCTTGTATGATGTACGTACAGTTAGCATGTCAAGAGTTATGTAGGTGTGCTGGATATATGCTTCTAAAATATGTTTAGACCAAGCAATCCAAGTAAAGTTCATTAACAGATTTGTCCTAGACAAAGGAATGTATATTGGACAGTCCGCCAGGGTCAAGCTTCGTAAGCCAAAGACAATGGATAATATATGCATCTGTGGTAAACAGAGTGATTGAGCTAACAGGAGAAGGAGGAAACAACATGGCTTGATTACAAGCAAAAGACAATGGACAAACATTTGCATCTAAGTGATGACACCAACAGGATGAAGGCCCCCGCTTGCTAAAGAACAAACAGCATGACCAGAGTCTGAACCCAAGGGGGTCATCCTCACTTTGGGAACAAAACAATGATTTTGGGGAAATATAAGGAGAAGCAAAAAGCCATCACTTAAGGGACAAAGAGGCCAGCGCTTTCTGAAAGGTAGATCCCCAGCCATGTGGGTTGAAGGTGCTGAGAACTGACAGTAAGTGAGAAATTGCCTGAGACCAGGATTGTAATCTGTTAACTGTTAGACTCTAGAAAATGTTTTATATTTGCTTTATTTTAAACCATTTACGGTTTCTATTATCCTTAATTACTGTCACTTAAATCTCTGCTCTTTATTAACAAACTTACTTTTGGTTTTACCATAAAATCATCTCAGTGCTGTTTAGGGGCAGACTTAAAGCTAACTTAACAGGCTGGTGTGTGCACTTTCTTTGGAGGCAGCGGACTTGGTAATTTCACTGAATGTCCAGTGATAGCAGCTGGACACTGCAGAGAGATGCTCTGGAGAACTTGGGAACAGGGGTTCACTGTGAAGATTTAGACAAGGTTGAGACTGGCGGAGTCTCAAGTTGTTCGCTGGTGAGGCAGACAAACTGGTGTGGCAGTAAGTTGTCATTCAGTTTAAGCTCCAGCAAGGCTCACAGCAGTTTACTGTTCTTGGCTCCCTGGGGAGACTGTCACAGCTATTATGTTTTAAAAGCCTTCCAAAGCCTTTTTCTTATCCTAGACAAGGTTGTGCTTTCACCGATGCACAGACAGTGGATGCCTAAAGTATGTCTGAAAGAACCAAGCCACCGTGGAATCTATTCTTTTTATTGTTTATTTTTCAAAGGGCTCCTCTACATTCAGGACTTACATTTGGGCACTAGCATAACTGTACCCATACGAACAGCCAGTGTAGGTCCGCAGCACTGGTGTCAAGTGGGGCTTGTGCCAGTGCGACTTATCCTGGTGCGAGGGCCAAGTTGCATCTACGCAGTACATATACACTGGTGTGCACTGGGGATAGCTACACCACTGCAAAAATCTCTGATGTAGTCAAGTTCAGAGTCACGGTAAACTTCCGGCTCAGACTTGAGCCAAATGATTTTATAATTTACTGATACATTATTGAGCTCCCGTTGACCTCCTGACTGATGCCAGGCTCATTCGTCTTTTGGCCCTGGTTGACGAAGCAAGAACACCTCAGAATTGAAAAACTGGCTTCAATGTCTATGGGACTTAAACAGTCAGGACTCAAATTCTACAGGTCTACCTTTTTTCATCACAATAAGGGATAACAATTACAGTGTCTTTTACTAGAAAAGTGTCTGCTTCTAGTCTTGAGATTTCTGAAATGGATAGTAATGCTGACAAATCTATTTAATATGGCTGTGTGGCCAGCTGACTGAGTTATCCATGGAAAAACTCTCCCCAATATTGGAATCATATTCAGTGCAACATCATCCCCTGGCACCCAGATGGGACACATTCCCAGATACTGTTGTTGGGGAAGTTTATTGAAGCATCCAGGACCATTGAGCGCATCTGGAGAACTCCAACAGGAGTTGTGAAATCAGTTCAGTAAAAACAGGTCAGGCCACCTTAATACACCTAAAAGTGGGTCTACACAACAACTGTAACTGGTTTTAAAATTGGTTTAGCTGAACAGATTTTAAAACCAGCTCAGAAACTTTAAAACCAGCATCGACAGGTGCTTATTGTTCAACCTTTGCTTTGCATTTTGGCAAATTCTGCAGCCCTGAATGTGATCTAGAGTACGTAACAGAAACTGGCGATACTTTTTAAAAGTTACATTACCATGATCTCCATAGCACTCCAGCGTGAGGTTCCCCAGTACATTGCCATCCCCTGGTTTATCACATGTGTCATTGCTCGGACAATTTCTGTACAAGAAGAAAAAGATGAGAGCTCTATGAAATTTCATATTAATCCAACTATTTACCACCCAAATTAACACAATATTTACAAACAATTGTAAATAACAGAGCACACGATGGTTTACATGCGAAAGTACATTATATAATGATCACTAAATAAATACCAGCCTAAAACAGGATGTTAATATTACCCATCATTAATGTTTGCTTTTTTAGTACATGCACCCAACTTTACAGGGGAGTCAGGCCCAAACTACAAGGCTTGTTTTCAGATTTCAAACTCAACAATTCTGGGTGTTTGGAACTGGCGTGTTAGAACTTGATTTGAATACACTTTAATAATGTAAATGGGGTGTAACCACTAAAAAGACATGGAGTTCCAGTTATAGAAGATATGTATGAGATAAGAAATAAAGCCCTGGGGTCAGGCTACTATAGAAATAGGTGGCAGCTGCCAAGTTAGCAGCTGGATCCAGGTTGAGATTGTGAATCTCCCAAGGATGGATGATGTCCAGATGGAAGGATCTTCCCTGGGCCCACCCACCTTTACAGTAAATATGTGGCTATTAATAGTTCATAATGGGCTAAGCAGTTTTGGTCAATGATCAACATGAAACTAAACAACCCTAAAATAATAGCTTTGTAGCCTATGTAATAATATATTCCATCTTCAAACACACCTGTTTGCATCTTTTTTCCTGTATATGGATGAAGCTGCATGGTACATGCAAATTTTAGGAGAATTACCATGGTGGGTAGTGAATGTAAATTTTCTTATTAAACAAAGTATTACATGTGCTCATGCTTATTCATGACATTTTTCTAAAATTTAAGACCACAAGAGGGCAGCGTTGTAGAAGAGGTTTGGGAAACGAAATGACTAAAAACCTGTGCTAAAAACTTCAGTTCAGAAGATTTCTTTTTAATTTAATTTTACAAAACACAAGTATACACGCAGTCTTCTTGCTTTTTACTAAGATTGTTCAGATGCCAGGGATGAAATATAGAACTGGCGAATCAGACTGTTGGTTACATCAGTACAGCCGATTTTTCTTTGTCCATTTACACCGTCACTGTGTGTCAGTCAAAGTATTAGATTATGCCTCCTTCCCCCACCCCTGAATTTTACAGTCCTTATCAGTTCTATGTGGGACTATGGAAGAGGTGATATTTTTTACCATTAATAATGTAATTTAGCACTTATATAATACTTTGAAGTCTATGGAAGACAAAGACCTTTACAAATCTAGGTAGGCATTTTTCTCTCCATTTACCGATGGAGTACCTGAGGTGCAGAAGGTTTAACTAATTTGTCCACAGTCACGCAGAGAGTCAGTGATAGCCCCACAAACAGAAATTGTATATCCTGACTCCTGAGTTCCTTCCTCAGTCCATTAGATCAGAATGCCTCAACCAGAAGTGGGTCAAGCAAAGTTGCTGAATGGATTTCACCTCACTGGTTGAGAAAGCAGCAAAATCTCTGGGTCTCACCAATGGGAGCTATGGAGTGCTCAGCACATTTTAAAAAAAATCAGGCCACTTATTTAGGGTGCCTAAATTTAGGGTGTCAATATCGCAAACAGAGATGTGTTCTCAACTCGGAGTAGCTAACAGCATTAGCTAACTTGGGTTAAAATAGCAGTGACGACACGGCAACATGGCTTTTAACTTAGGTTAGCAGCTTGAGTTCAACTTCAGGATGCCCTATAGGCTTGAACTCGAGTTGCTAACCCAAGTTAAAAGCAGAACCGTCATGTCTTCACTGCTATTTCACAGATCAGGGGCAGCCATGCGCCCTTGACAGATACCGCTGTTGTACTCAAACCAATTGGACATCCTAATACCTCAGTGGACACAGCTCTCATTTTGGTGGTGCATTTCTATGAGAAGGTTGAGGAGCTCGCTAGGCACAACAACAGCTTACAGACAGAGACAAAGTGAATGACGATCAACAAAGTCAAATGCAGATTTTAAATCAATAAAGGCTATATACACCTCATCCTTCCTGCACCAAAACTCTTGGACTTTTTCAGTAATTCGTCTAATGGTAAAAATCTGCTACATGGTTGATTGGCTGGGCATAAACCCAGCTTGATGTAGATGGCATAGATTCCTTATGGTAGTCTTAACACGCTCAAGAAGAACCAGCATGAACAGTTTGCTTGGCATGGAAAGCAATGTGATGCCACAGTGATTAGAGCACACGAGAGCATCACCTTTCCCTTTCCAAAATGAGAGAATAATCCCAAAGTGCCAGTATTGGGTAGTTTCTCATGAATCCATACTTTGTTGATAACATGGGTCAGCCACCCCAAGATCAAAACCTTGCCGTGCTTGATCAGCTTGGCAGCTATACCACAAATATTGATAGCATGGCTGTTCTTAAGCTTGCAGGCTGCACTTGGAAGCTCCTCGACTGTGTCATCTACTACATCACATGGGGTGGGGCAATATATTCAATCAGGGTGAAATTCACCCCTGTGCAGAAGGCCAGCACAAGGCCTGTAGATCTCTAAAGTAGGACTTAAGTAGTGTTTTGGCCTTCTACTGATCATTCAGTGTTTTGGCTTTTTTAAAGCATCAGCTCCTGGAGTCAAGCAATGGTGTGGGAATCACAGCTTTCAGTAAAAGAAAAAAAGTTAAGTTTCTGGCCCTCGTGGTTGCATAGAAAAGCTAGAAAATGTTACCTGAGTGTATCCTAAAGGCTGGAGAGCAAAGAAAAAGAACCCCAACTTTATTGTTTTTGAAAACGCTCTTGTTTTTTGGGGCCTGACTCAAGATTTTTGAAGATTTGGAGTTAGTAATACTGCTGACCCTTTCCATGGCGGGGAATTTCACACTCTGGGAGTGCTACTTTATTTGGTGTCTAACATTGGAAATCCAATCAGTGCAAGCCCCCGGACACTGAATCAGTGCACACCACGTGTACTGATGACTGGATTTCCCAGTGTCATGGGGTATGGCTACAATTCAATTAAACACCCACGCCCGTGCTATCTGACTCAGGCTTATGGGAAACCAAATTTGTCCTGTCTCAATTCTTGCTCTGTCCCAGTGCAGGCCCACAAGAGGTTGGTTATTTTCATGATTAATCATGATGGGAAAATCACTATCCTGGCCACCTTTAATAATGCTATGTCTATTGCTGAGCTTGGGCACAACGGCCTTTCTGGATGGAATATGTCATTCATTCAGAATCACTATTGTTAATTTAGCAACAAACAAAGGCAAATTTAGTTCTTGGACCCATATATTCAGAACTGTGTGTGTGCAAAAATGAGCAGTTGGACACACAGCCCATAGGTACCATGACTACTCACTGAGGGTGAAATTCACCACTGCACAGAGGACCCTCACTCAGCCTACGCATCACTTTGTTCTCACTTATGCCTTAGTTTGAACTGAGATGTTTATGTATTCACATGACTCCAGAAACTGGGGCTTTAAAACACACCAAAAATCAAGAGACTCACACTGCACAGTATCCTGCAGGATGTCTGACAACTTTAATCTTCCTATTAGAGCTTACTCCTCTGTAGCACAGGACCCAGTAATTAACCCCTTTCCTTGCTTATCTATAAACTTAATGCTGCATGAAACCTCTTTCCAGAAACCCAATTCAGCCAAAAACATCTCAGTATTAAAAAAGAAATAAATCCATTATGTGGAAAAATATTTATCCTCATGATTGATTTTTTACCCACTCTGATAGCATATCATTTAAACGATACCTGACAAAAATAAGCCAGATGAGGTCTGAGAGGCATAAGAAACTATCCCTAATATTTAATAACATATTATCAGTAAAGTACAGGGTGTCTTGCAACCAGCAGGAGCTGTCTTTTTCAAGGAAGAAAGCTGCAAGAAACTGATTGGAGTTTAAATCTATGTGATGGATTTTTGACCTATTAAATTGCAGTCAAGTTATTATGGAATCATAGCTATTGATCATTTAGATGGATTGAGAAAGCCTGGTCTGTGGCTTCTTATTAAATTATACACTACATTTGTAGCAGCATATATAACTGTCTAGAGTATCAGTTCCTGAAGACATGTATCCTTTTATATCACAAGCATTCTCATCCTCTTTGTAAAGGTATCAAGCAAAAAAGCTTGGCAGAGGGTAGATTACTCTGAAAATCTTGGGAGTTTTTATGAGAATTTTTCTGCAGGTAGTGAGAAACAGATAAACATAAAGTCTCCATCTATACTCAGAGAAGAAATCTCATCAAACTAGAAATTATCCCTCTTACCATGCTTTTGTTTCTGTATATTTTATGTACAGCTTATTTTTTCATTGGTAGCTTGTTACATTTTATTTTGATTAGACTCTTTTTTCCCCCCATAGAAAGGAAGGATGCAGTAGATCTTGCAGTCATTTTTTTTCATTTGGACATAGCCACACTGTATTTCACCCACTTTAAAGGCCTAATTAAATTTGTGAGCATTTTCTGGTCCAATAAAGAGCATGATGAACAGGTAACTAACGTGGCACTGAATAGTGAAAGAATTTTGAGTATGTTCAAACAGTGGGTTATATGATAAATAGTCATTCAAAGAGTGTCTACTTTTTAATGATGGCTTTGTTTATTCTTTATTGAAAAGTCATGGCGATCGGGGGAGGTCCCAGATGACTGGAAAAAGGCTAATATAGTGCCCATCTTTAAAAAAGGGAAGAAGGCAGATCCTGGCAACTACAGGCCAGTCAGCCTCACCTCAGTCCCTGGAAAAATCATGGAGCAGGTCCTCAAGGAATCAATTCTGAAGCACTTAGAGGAGAGGAAAGTGATCAGGAACAGTCAGCATGGATTCACCAAGGGCAAGTCATGCCTGACTAATCTAATTGCCTTCTATGACGAGATAACTGGCTCTGTGGATGAAGGGAAAGCAGTGGACGTGTTATTCCTTGACTTTAGCAAAGCTTTTGACATGGTCTCCCACAGTATTCTTGCCAGCAAGTTAAAGAAGTATGGGCTGGATGAATGGACTATAAGGTGGATAGAAAG